CTAACAGAACACTACACAGTACTGGTTTTACTGACAGATTTTACCACATATCAAGGAACATATAAGTTCAATGAAATAAAACAACCAGAGGATTCGCAAAAAAGGAATTTCCAAGATCTTTCATTGTCTTCATTATTTTTCTTGCCACTGAGACACAAAACCTGACACCAAAACTTGAAACAGGAGAAGTTTATTTTGGCTTACAGTTTGTAGGGTTTCAGTCCACAGTCTGCTGGTTCTAAGGCAGGATGATATGGCCAAAGGGCATGAAAGAATAGACTGGGATGGGATGGGGTGGATGGCAGGAAGCAGAGAGAGAACCACGAAGGAGGGAAAGAGATAGACCCTTACAGATCACACCCCAGTGCTCTACCTCCTCCACCAGGCTTCACTTTCCAACCTCACATTTAGCTAGAAATGTATCAGTTGGAAAGCCGAGTGGTAAGGACCACACCATTATGGTCCAGTCACATCCCCAAAGCCCCACCTATGAATACATGAGGCTTTGGGGAGACATATAGTAAATAACCATAATGTTTATGAAACTAATACAACTTCAGATCCTAAACCAGAGAAAAAGGAAAATTATGTCAGTCTCACTTTTGGGCTCTGATGAAAAAATATCTTCAAAAATCAGGATTTATTTTAGGAACAACAAGGATGGTTTAACTTTGAAACCTAAGAGAAAACCCACATAATCATCTCAATATATACAAACATATACTGAGGTTTGCATAGCATTCAATAGTATTTATGTTTTCTAAAAACAAGAGCAATCAAGAGACCTTTTAGCAAAAAATAAAATAACACAGGTAGCCTCATTATGCTATAAGCAGCATGTCTTGATATAAAAATAGTGTAGGGGTTAAAATACTGAACTCTGTGATTAGACCATCTGAGATTCAAATCCCACCTCTGCTGAATAGTTATGTGATGTTGAGCAATTGTTACAGATTAATGAAAGTTAATTTCTATCATTATTTTTAGTCAAATTTATTGAGGAATTACTTAAATAAGATAAACCTTTTATAGTGTGCTTCAAATGCACACAACAGTATAACTACCGCAATAATCAAATGCAGAATATTTGCATTACTCCCCAGAAGTCCCTTCTCCAGTCTCTAGTTATAGTTTATAGCCATGTGTCACCTGTGTGTTTATAGGGGACTGGGGGAGGTGATTAGATCATAGGGCCCTGTACTCATCAGTGGATTAGTTAACTGAGGAGTTTATAGCTAAATGTGTTTTAGGAGGAAGTGCCTGGTAGGAAAAGGTAGATCACTGGGGGTGTGGCCCGGAAGGGTAGATCAATCTCTGGCTTTCGTATTCACACTTGGATTCCTGGACACCACAACAGGAGCAATTTTCCTCTGTCATACTAACTATGGACTAAAAACAGGAGCCAAAATAAATTACTCTTTTAAATTGTGGGTCTTGGAATTATGTGCCTGCAATGAGAAAGGGGATTAAGACTACAGGTGTACTTTCTGCTCCTATTTTCAGAAATGCTGAGTAATTATGGACTACTGGAGCCTATTAGGAGATTCTTCTGAATTCAAGCACCTACAAAATTTAAATGACAATGGAATGCCCTTTCTGACAAAACTAATCAAAAAAGTGGGATAGAAATGAATGAACCTTTTGTATCTGTATACTCAAAATAGTTAGGATAGATATACAGCTCCACTCTCTTAATTCAATGAATAGAGAGGTTTGTTATAATAGTGTTTGAGACAGGATATCATGTCTGCATCTTGTACAATGAATAACCACTAAGACAACAATATGCAATATATTAATTACTGTAAATGTGCCAGTAATCAGTTGTGAAACTGTCTCATTGGTATTTGTTTCTCAATAAAATATTTTTTTAAATGCTGAATAATGGAACCATGTACTGTATAGCTTGTTGATGCTGACTTCTTTTGTCTAATACCATTTTTTGAAATTCATCCATGTTATTGTGTATTTCAGTAGTTTATTTTTATTCTCAAATAGGAATTTAGCAAAGTTGCCAGCCAGGGAATATCTAGGTTTTTGTGAGCTCTGAAACTTATATAATTTGGGGGCCCTGCCTTAGAAAAAGAATGCAAAAATTTTTCAAAGGTATGAAAGAAGTTATTTCAAGTAAGAAAAGAAGTAATGTCACTACTGCTCCAAACACAGGAATTACAAACATTTGTTACTCCCCTTGAGTAAATAAAATAATCATGATCTCTGTACAAATTTATACAGTGCAACTATATTCTTATAGGAAAGATCTTCAGTTTTGAATAAGCAAAAGTGAACACTCAATTGTCTGTTTACAGTTTTATATTTTTAATGATTAGAAGTACTTTCCACTGATTAGTTTCAGTTTTCATACAGTCCAAACTTGGCTTCTTTTCCACTTCCCACATAGTTCATATTCCAAGCCTGTCCTCTTTGTGTCAGAAATTTTGGTGAGTTAATACAGGGTGATAGGAATATACCTGGCAGCATTCCTGCACTAAAACAGCTAACAGTATAACCCATAACCAGAAGTGATTGCAAACCCCATAAGTATCCCATTAAACTAAATGTACGTCCAAATGCTTCCTCAGACTGTTTGTCTAGTGTGCACCCAGCCCATCCCACACTACTTATTAGGGAATATATGACAGATGGGGGTGGAAACAGACATTGACCTTAGTATAGTGTTTTCCCAAATTTTTAAAACCAATTGACTGTATAATCCCTTTGACAGTGACCTTCCTCAAGGCCTAAAAAGATTTACTCCAGCAAGTACCTGGAAGCTTGAGAAAATACTGAACAACTGTACTCCAGAGATAAGACAGGAGTTGAGGGGGGAAAAAAAAAACCTTTTTTTTTTTTTTGCTTGCTATTTTTGCCATGGAATGAAGAAAGACAGTGCACTAGAGTCATCTTTTGGAAGAATTCAGCCAATCCTATCTGGTAGTATCTTTTTCTTAAAATTGTCTGCAAGGAGCTGAGTTAAGAAGCAGCATGTTCTTGGTGACTTCAGTATCTTAAATCATCCACTGGGACAGAATGGCATAGTCCCGTCTTACTCTCAAATCATAGCTGTCCTAGAGGACCTGGGTACTGGAGCCACACTGTCTAGGTTGGATCTCCATAATTTTCTTTCAATATTTGCTTAATGAAAATCACAGAACTAGCATCCTTAATTCAGAAAAACAAGTTTTCTCCTTTTGAAACAGAATTATCACCACAAACTAATTTATTCAGCATATAGTGATATGGTATGATCTCACTTTATATGTGAGCTTTCAGATGGAATAATTTTTTGGAACAAGGAGTGACACAGATTTAAAGTAACAACGTATTTTAAATATATCTCATGGGTTTTTGTTGCATAAGAGCTGCATACCTTTTTAAATACGTTACTTATTCCAAAGTAGATTCATTAAATATAGACTGCTCTGCACTTAGAAGATTCTAGGGACTGTAGAATACAAAGTTCAGAAAAAATTTGAAGATTATTACTTGACCTTTAACATTTATAGTCTTGATCATGATATTTATTTAAAAGTGATTCTAAAAGTTATTTTAATCTAATAAAAGGATGTGAGGAAATACCAAGCGTGTATTATTTTTATAATAAAATTTTAAGTAAAGCAGTAGGATGTTTTTTATTTTCAGTTAATCCTGGACCAAATGATTCAGATGGAGAGAAAGCCTAACATTTATGCAATAGCAGCAAACATCATGAAGTAGGATAAAATTATTTACTATTGCATAAGATGAAGGCTGTATATGGTGCAGAAAGAAGTGTAAAGGTGAGAGGAAGTAGGAAAGGTGTGTGTTCCACCGAGGCCTTGTTGAAGGATCCCAGATGAAGATGGGCTGGAGGATAAGAAAAGGTGATGCCCCTGATGAAAACCAACATAAGGATTTCCACAGGACTAAAAGTGGCCTTTAGGTTCCTGGATATTTTATGTATAATCATGTCATCTGAAAATGGGAGGAGTTACATGTTTTCCTTTTACTACAAAGCCTGTCATTTCTTTTTCTTGCTGTATCATGCCCCTTGAAAGTTCTAATACTATATTGATTGAATCTGGTGAGAACTGAAATCCTTACTTTGTTCCCAAGGAAGGAGAATACTTGGTTATTCCTTACAAAGTATATTTGCTGTAAGTTTTTTGCACATGTTTATCAATTTCAGTTCTTAAATTTCTCAGTGTTTTATGGGTTAGAATATAATGTATCATAATACATGTTCCATGGCACTTGAAAAGAATGTTTGTCTGTTACTGCTAATTGGTATACAAATATTGGTCAGATCATAGTATCTGTTACATATTTTGGTGCTTATTTGTACTTTGAGTTTTTCACACCTGAGAAACAGTGTATTTACTCATGTGTGTCTGATTCATTTCACTTAAGAGTATGGTCTCAAGGTGCACCCATTCAGCTATAAATGTTTCAAGTTTATCCTTTATGGGTGAGTAGTACTCCACTGTGTAAGAAAACGTATCTTTATCCATTCATAGATGGCTTTTATCAAATTGACATAAAGACCATCTATTCTAATTTTCTGTGGAGTTTTTATCATAAATGGGTGTTGAACTTTGTTAAACATTTCTTCTGCATCTATTGAGATGATTATATATTTTTTATCCTTGGCTCTGTTAATATGGTGTATTATGATTTTTATACACTGAACTATTCCTGCACCCCTAGGATGAACCCTACTTGGTCATGGTGTGTAATCTTCTTAATTTTTTCCATTCTGCTTATTAGTGCTTTATTGAGAATTTTTGCTTCTATGTTCATGAGGGACATTGGCCTGTAGTTCCCTTTGGGGGTTAGATTCCTCTCTCTCTTTGGTATCAGGGTAATGCCTTCTGCTTCTATTTTAGATGATTTCCTTAAATTCAGTGTCTTATAGGAACAAGTTCAAAATTAAGACATAGAACCTTCTGGAATGATTGTACAACTTTTACCAAGGTATGGAAGAAAAAGACTTTTAAAAATTTCAATTATTTTTTTCCTAGACTCATCAGATGGTGAAGGAGGAGGAGAAACAAAAATGACACCACAAGAGACAGCCTCAGTTCCTATATCATCAAAAAAAACTGAACAGGTGATAGTTATTGAGAAATGTGTACTTCTTAGATTCTGAAATAAACTTCTGTCACTCTGCAACATTTCTTGTGCCCTAATTTCAGTTGTTGCTATGATTTTGGCAAAGCATTTGCCTTCTCTGCCTTTGAAAAGGCCATACTTTCTTAATTATCAACCAGCAAAGTTTATACCCTTCTAATTTTTATTGTTTCTTTTACACTATAAATATCAGCAAAGTTTATATCCTTCTAATTTTTATTGTTTCTTTTACACTATAAATATAATTCATAAGAATGATATTTAGATTCATGTCACATTTTCACTGAAGATCCAAACATACTATTTTGGATACAGTTCCTTAGAGGAGACAGATACCACACAGATGTGAAATATCTCCTGCACAAAGTCTTCTGATTACACTACCATACTATGCTGCCAGCTGGTTTCTGGAGCTGTGTTTCTACTTCATGTATGGTTGTCCTATGCCTTCTTACCAGGGAGTTTGCTGCCATGCCTTAGTCCAAATGGCCATTGGAAATAAGCTTTACTTCCTGGATCTAACTTGATATAGCTTTTTAAGTCTTTTTAGTGACCTGTGTGATGCCAGTCACATTCATTTGTAGCTTTTTGCCATTTTGTATCTCTTGGTGTTAATCTTTAAAGAACTGTCTGCTATCAACCCAAATTGGTCATCTTTGCAATAAAGATTTGTGGTCTTATGTTTACTGTGGGTGCGCTAAATTCATTACACAAGAGGTAACTCTTACCAAAGTTTGTGACTAGGCTTAGGTTAACCATGAGAAGCAACTTAGAATAGTAGTTTTTTACTACCTATTTTACCTTGGGCAAGTTAAATTCTCTGTGCCTCAATCTTATTAGTAAAGTGGTGGTAACAGTTAAAAATGCCTTATACTGTACTCCAGGGGTCAGAGCCAGCACAGCACACTGGGGATCTACTCTGGTCCGTGCGTCTGCCAAAGCAGGCCCCTTTTGCTTAACTAAACCATGTCCCCTTGGCAAGGAAGTCCAGGCCCAAGAGATTACACCTAATGGAAGCATACTGGTCAATTAATTGAAGAATATGACATTAAAACAAAATACTCTTTCCTTGATTTTTTTTTTTAATCTTAATATTAGTTCATGGTTGAAGGAGCAGTCTTAGAGGAGGGGCAGAGTATGTTCTTTTCATTGCATGTGTAGATTAAGGTTCTTTAAGAATAATGTTATTTCTGGGTACAAACCAGATTGACCGTCTTTGGTTCCATTGATTTTCACTGTGTGAATAGTGGCTAAATGTCATGCATTTGGCATTGAATTTGGGGCTATTTCCATTAAGGACTGAATATTTGTCATACATTCAAGGCCTGACTTCTAGTGTTATGGTGGATAATTCGATTAGATTTAGAGCCCCCTTCCTCTCCTTCCTTCTCTCTGTCTCTCTGTCTCTCTGTCTCTCTCTCTCTCTCTCTCTCTCTCTCTCTCTCTCTCTCTCTCTCTCTCTCTCTCTCTCTGTCTCTCGGAAAGATCACGTGAGCACAAATGAGAAGATAGTTGTATACAAGAAAGAGGGAGGACCCTTATCAAGAACAAAATCTGCTAGTACCTTAATCGTAGACTTCCCAGCCTTCAAACTATAAAAAATAAAATAAGTATCTGTTGATTAAAAAAATATTTTTTTTTAAAGCAGGCCCCTTAATCCACTGAGCTATCCAGCCGGCCTATCCCACTTGCTTTCTTTTTCATTCCTTTTTTAAAAAAAAGTTCAAAAATATTTTTTTTCATATTACTTATTTTCTCTCATGCTTTTCTTGCTTCTTTTCTTTTCTGAACCCATTGGTTAAAGTATAAATTTGAATTAATAAACTCACCCATGCCTGTATCATTACTTCTTTTTATTGATGAAACTATCACCATTGCTAAATTTCTACATGTTCTAGCTCTTTTTCTCCCCAAACTTTTCTTTTCCCATAGCTATTAAGTTAGATAAATGGAAAATAAATAGAAGAGGGGAAAAAAGGAAGAAATGAAACTTAAATATAATCTCAGTTCTGTGAGCATTTCTCTATCTTTGGTTATCCAGATTTCAATGGTAACAAAAGCCTTTTACTGAGCAATTATGATAGTCACTTTTCAAAGCATGCTTTAACTTACATGATATTCACAACAGCCCTATATGGCTAATGATGTCCCATTTATTAAAAAAAAAAAAAACTGAATCCCAAAAACTAATTATAAGAGTCTTGGCTAGCACTGCAAAAGCTTAAGGGTTCATTGCCTATTGACTCACCTTCCTCTTCCTCTGATTTTTGTTACTGCCAAATTCCTCCAAAGTTTTAGGCAGTCAAAATGCCCTAACTCCTTCCTTAAACTCCCCTTCTTTCACTGACCAGATAACTCTTTCCTATCTCTGAATTTAGTACAAATCTATTTGTGCCCCTCCACTTTATATGAGTGCTGTTTGTCTAAATCCGCCCACCAGGTCAGAACACCTCAGAGACAGAATTGTGCAGCTTCACAGCACCTAGCACAAAAGAAGTTCCCTAAATTGGAACTCAGTTGTGAAATGAAGAAATGACTACAATGAAGGATGCCTGTACCAGTGTCCCAGCTCTCTTATCGCTCACCCATTTCCACTGCTCTATCCCAGCTTATGAGCAATGTGCTCCCTCACACAGCTGCTTGCAGAGGTCTCTTGGAGCCATATGACCTTGAGTTCTTTCTGCAACCCCATCCTTGCCATCTCTATGACAAGTCCCTCCTTTGATATCCTTTCAGCTCCTCTGTGCTCCCCAGTACTTCTCTCCTACTACTTTCTCCCCTTTGAAACTAGCCCAGTCTTGCCAAGAGCAACTCTCTTGTGTGGCACATTGTCCTCTTTGGTGTCAGTCTTCAGTTGTTTGTGTGTGTAGAGCTTGAGTTTCTAACTAGTTCCTAGGTGCCTGTGGGCCAGAATTTATTTTGTGTGTACTACAGTGCCTAGCAGTGATCTAGGTACATATTTGACAGACATATGTTTTCTAAAAGTAATATTCTTCTAGCATTATGAGAAAATTATTTTATGGTATATTTAAGTTTTAATTTTTTTTCAAGTTTGCATAATTGCTATGCTTTGAAGTTTTTCACTATCCATGTGCAGGAACAGCCTGGCATTACACTGATAGCTATAATATACTTGTAAGCTTTAACACCACCAGGTGGGAGCATCTGTTGAGAAAGGTGGTGTTCGCTCCTCTGGCCTAACTGAGCCTCACATTTGTGTTACTGAGTGGACACCTCCTATCTGTCCAGTGTTTGAAGCATCAGATTTATAACTTTCTGAAAATTTTCTTAATCCATATAACTATATCATCTCTAGCAAGCATTTCACATCTAAATAAGCATGCTTGGCATGCTTAGTAATGTGAGAGTACAATTTGCAAGCAGTTCTACTCCCCTACACTCCTGTATTCCTTCCAAAATAAATGATAAATTCTCCACTGCTGGAGATTGCGTCACCCTCTTCCCTGCTCAGCACCCGTCATTTCAGAGCCAGCCCTAGTGACTTTGTAGTTATGGTTCCCAGAATATAAGCCCTTACAAGGGATTTTGTGACTTGTGTGGATGGCTGAATGATGTCAGAAGCTTTGCAGTGGTTCCATGACCTATCTTCTCCCCCTCAGAGACCACATTGGACTTCTTTGTCTTTCTGCTAGACTTTTATTTAAATTTCCCCGGATCATAAAGAAATCTCCAGCACAAGTGCCTCCCCTTCCTGTTCCTTACTCACTGTTCTCTACTATTACTATCTCTTATATCTGTATTTGAGCATTGCTTATTTCATATTTTTTAACTTTTTATCTCCAAGATCATTCTTGATTCTTGTGAAGGGAAAACAAAACTATGTCCTTTCTACTCTGTAGATTCACTGTTCTTATCCATAGTCGTATCTCTGTTCTATTCCTTTATATCAGTCTGTTGGTACTTAACAAGTTGCCCAAAATTTAATAGTTTTAAGCAGACAAGATGTATTATTGCACTGTTTCTGTTATCTCACAGGCATGGTTTAGGTCAGTGCATCTGGCATGACATCTTTAGATAACACCAGCCAGTCAAATTCCAGGTTGGGACAGGCGATATCTGGGAAAGATCCTTCATGGAGCTTACAGGAGTGGTAGTCAGCAGGCCTCAGCCCTTCTCTGTGAGCCTGCCACATTGTTGACTCAAAACACTGCCACTGGCTTCCCTCATTCAACTGATTCAAGAGAAAGCAAGCAAAAGTCCTCAAGACAAAAAGCACAGTCTTTGTATAACCTGTTCTCAGAATTGACATCTCATCACTCCTGCCATTTTCTGTTACAAACAGGTCAGTAAATCCAATCCTCATTCAAGGGGCAATGACTACAAAGAGAGAAGAGTTGGGAATTATCATGGGTTCTGGTTCCCATAAACTTCCCTCTGGCATCTAATGATGTATACCTCTCCAATTTTTAGACTATGTTCCCCTATCCAAGGCTTGCAAAGTTTTATGGCATCTCAGCGTGAGTTCAGCTTCAGAGTCTCATCAGCAAAATTACAGTTGAGGTTTCTAAGATTTACTTTCCTAAGCCAAAGTCTCTAGATACATTTCTTCTCAGTTTGTAAGACTAGAGACCTATTATCTCCACCACAGACCCAACACACAGTGGTGGAACAGGTACAGAAGGATAACCACTGTTAGCACTTCTGTTCACAAAAAAAAGAGAAATAAGGAGCTGCAGGAGTCACTGGGCCAAAGAAAAAAATGTTAGAAGTTGTTAATTAGGTCTCCAGTACAGGAATATTCTCCATCCTCTAGCTCTGTCCTTTGAATGCTACGCTTTTTCCTCTAATTCACCCTTCTTTTTGTTAATAAAGAGTAGCAGATCTTTACAACTGAGCAGGTTTTTCCAATCTGTATTTTTTTCTTTCTTTTTTTTTTTTTTGTTCTGGGAATTGAACTCAGGACTTTGCACTTGCCGGATAGGTGCTGTGCTGCTGAGCTATATTCCCGGCCCTCAACCT